TATTAATTTTTTTAAATCACAACTCTGAGTATACATCTTTTAAATACTCTGTGCAACAAAATGGGAAGTGTATATACAGTGCTTATGCTATATACCTAAACACAATAGTTGTCTATAGAAAAACATGTGATTATTGAAGTTGCAACCTGAGCTAGCCACTTTATTCGTATAATACCACTGTTTTTTGAAAGAATGGTGGCAACCTGCAATTATTCAGATGTAGGCATGCAAGAGGCACTTTCTCAAAAATGAATGAAGTGATCCTGCCACTTCTAAGAAAATAACTGATACATTTGTTGCCAATGATTAAAATTGAGCTTTCAAATGAATATTAGAATTTTAGAAAACTTGTATCTACTGTTTGGGCAACCAAGATAGCCACACACGAATCCTTTCCCCTCCTCCTCCACTACCTATCCTCCTAAAACAAAGACACAAAGGATCTGGTTAGCCCCACTCCCAAAGTTCATGCTGAAGGACCCTAACTTTCTGGGCAAGCTGTGGAATTTGCCCACCTTCTATGGCCCCACATAAACAGGTCCCCAGGCATAGACACTACCTTTGTACTGCTCAGGCGGGTCCCCCTCCCCTTTCAATAAACCTGGCCTGAACATCTCTGCTCTGGTCTCTTCTCTGGGTACCACCATGTACATCCTTCATCTATCACCTCAAACTTGATGTTTTCTAAGATTTAAACACTGATATGATTTCAGAATTCCAGTTGCAACTAATTTTTAAGAAATCATTACTTAATTGAATTTTGGTATAGTATGAAAAAAGGATATCCATAATTATCTGAAAAGACTATTAAAATACTTTTCCTTTTCCAACTACATATCTGTTCAAGATCAGATTCTTTCATATAATTCAACCAAATCAACATACTTCAATAGGTTGAATGCAGAAGCAGATTAGAAAATACAACTGTCTTTTATTAAGCCAGATATCAAATTCTTGCTACATTTTTTTTGTTTTAGAAAATACAGTTATTTTTCATTAGAAGTGTTATTTGTCCCATGTAATGAGCTTATTAATATTTTAATTGCACTAATCAGTATGTTAATTTTTTGCACTTTCGGTTCTCATACAGTAAATTTCACATAGCCTACCTAAACAAAATTACTCTTGTGTCCTGAATAGTCTT